TTATTTTGCTTTTTTCTAGTTGGTCTGTGTTTTAGTTGTAAGTGTATTTTCGGTTTGTGTTTTTGGTCTGGGTCGTTTGACCTCTGTGAACCCGAGTGTCACTTTATTATCTCAATGGGATCCGAGACTCGGGTATTACCCTGTTGAGGGCTTTTAGTTTGCTAGTTGTTTGTGTTGCTATTACCCCTTTGGGGTCGTGGTCGAGTCGTTGGTCTGTTTAGTTTGAGTTTTTATTCTAGCGTTGCTAGCGGGATTCTAGGCGGTCTTCTGACCTGTCCTCCCATTTTATTCTCCCGTTGGGAGCTTTGTATTTTTATTCGCACGTTTGTGCGCTTTTGATTTATAATAGTACCCCTATCGTTTCGGAAAAAAAAAATATAATTTATACTTTAACAATTTCTAAATTCTAAATATGAGATATTAAATTCTAATTTATAACATAAATCTAAATTCTAATATAATGTATATAATTAAAAAATTTGATAAAAAAAAAAAAAATGGTCGGACGGTCGGCAAAACCGGCCGTGCATGGTGCGGCCAACCGGCAAAACCGACCGTGCATGGTGCGACCAACCGACAAAACCGGCCGTGCATGGGCCGACCAACCGGCAAAAAGAAGGCCGGCACGGCTACGGCCGGCATTCGAGGCCGGCCGGCCAAAAAAAATATATATATATATATTTTTGGTCGGTTTGACCGGTCGGCCGCCGGTTTGACCGGTCGGCCGCCGGTTTGACCGGTCGGCCGCCGCATGACCGGTCTTGTTGGAAAACATTTTTTCGCCGGAATTATTCAGAGGTGTTTTCGAAATTTTTTGAGGCTCGAATTGGCCGGTAAATAGTTCCAAAGAGGGACATCTCTTCTTTTTTAAAAAAATGAATAAAGGACAAATTAGTTTTTTAAGGGCGGTAAATATCGAAAAGGAAAAATGAATAAAGGACAAATTAGTTTTATAAGGGCGGTAAATATCGAAAAGGGGGCGGTGTTTAGCGTTTCACATCTCTATCTCTACCTGTATGTGATTTGACTTTTCCTTGCTATTTCTTGCTTTTTTTCTTTTTTTTTTTTCATGCTTCATTTTCTTTTCTTTTTTTTATCCTTTCTTTTGATTGTTGACTCATTCAGTTCTGTTATTGTGGGTTTGGTATGTTATTAAATTGTAGATGTGAATTGTAGAAATTTTTTTAAAAAAAATAGAGATTGTATTAATATTTGAAATCAAACCAACATTATGTTACATATATTTTAATATTTTATTTCATTCAATTAGCTATTGAGACAATGTAGACCAACATTGTCGGAGGTGAATAAACGGAGAATTGGGGTTGCGCTGGCCGTCACTAATCCGCAAAGCCAGTCCCACTAGGCGTAGGGCTCACTGCTTAAAGGTTGCTTTGCCCTCAAGCGGTACCAGAGGTGTCGAGTTGGGGCTGCGCGGCGAGCTCCGACCAGGTTCTCAGCGCCGGTCGGAGTTGAGGTTCGGTTCCTCCCCCTTTTCCCCTTCGGTCGCCTCCTTGATTTGTGTTGTTGCTTGGTCAGTCGGCCTTGTTGGTCTTCCGGCTTGCGGGGCCGCATCTGGCAAGAGGTTTTTGGTGGAGCCGGTTGAGGGGGTGGGACTGTGCTGAGTCGTTCTCCGGTTGTCGGTCCAGAGGTGGTCCGTCTGGAGAAGATTGCGGTCGTCTGATGCGGTTCCAGCTACATGTGGTTTACTGGTGTTTTTGGTTCGATATTCGGGCCGGAATCCTATCTGTGTGGGCGTCTATCTCTGGGTTTCGAGCCGATGTGTGTGCGGTTTGTTTCGCCAGATGGAAATTAGGAGGGTGTTATTCTTATTAGTTAGTGTTGTTTTGTGTTATTGCCTATGTTTTTTTTGCCTTTTTTTTATGTTGTTTGTGCTTTTGGCGCTTCTCATATTGTTAGGGGCTTATTCTTCTAGTAGGAGTTTATTCTCCTCTAGTAATAGCTTTTGTCCGTTTTCGGGTGTTGATTACTTAGACCATCTTTATTCGTGACCCACTCATGAGTCACGGGAATAAAACAAAAAAAAAAAGGAAAAGGTCACAATATGCGCGACCCAGCTCACATTGTGACCTCGGGTCGCGACCGGTTTTTTGTGCAGAAATTGGACACTTGTCCCATTTGTATTGGACAAGTGTATTTTTTAAAAAAAAATAAGAAAAAAATATTAAAATTCGTATTTTTCCATTCTCTACTAATAGAGACCACACTTGATATATTTTAGAACACGATTGTAATTTTTAAATAAATTAAAATAAAATAAATATTTAGGTTGAGTTGGGTTGGGGATAAAGATAAATTGGGTTGGAAGATTGAGTTGTATAGGTAGAGGAGAGAGAAATAAATTATTATTTTTTTTGGTAGCCAGCCACGGTATTCGGAGCTATGCTCCGACTAATCCGTTGGTCGACCCGGGTCGCACACCTGACAGTGGTGAGTGAGTCTCCCAACAAGGATTTTTTGCCTCCACAAGAACTCGAATCCGAAACCTTGCTTAAGCGACATCAAGTTGCTTACCACTTGAGCCTTTTTAATTGTTAGGTTGGGTTGGCGATAAGCAGGGACGGATCTAGAAATTTCACTCAGGGGGGCCCGATTTTAAATGTTAAATAAGGTAGTTTAAGTCGAAAAGCTCATTTCATATACAAATGTATTTACTATAAATATAAATATAGATATGTTTACCATTGTGTTTTTAAATACTCAGAATCCGTATAACCCTCAAACTTAAAAAAATAAATAAATAAATAAATAAATTATGTACTTATAATTTAAGTGAAAAATCTATAATTTATGGAAAAATAAGTTTTTTTTTTGTTGAAAAATTAATTTAAATTTTACTTTTTGCAGCACATTGCATAACATTTTTGTTGAGAGAGCTTATAACATTTAAAAAAAAAAATAAAGTTAAAAATATGTG